CTCTGAGTACGGTTATCCAGCCAGTTATGCACCCACCTTATAGTAGCCCCATCTAAATTGTATTTGCCTAGTTTATCGATAAGAATATCATGCGAGTTCTTATCACTGAGTTCAAGTCTCTCCCCATTTAGGTCAGTGGGTTTACCATTACTTGAATGGGAGCAGCATTAGGACTACATGAAGCAGTTCTGAAAGTCCCACTCTCAAGCTTTATGGGAATGGTGACAGCTCATGGTATAGCTACACAGCAAAGAGAAACCCACGGCTGGCAAGGGCCAGCCGACGCAGGCTCACGGGGCTTTTATTGCAGTGTAGATTTCCAGGCTCCGGCTGGAAACCAAGTTCTAGGACCCTCCAGCTGCGCAGGGTCCCAAAGTCTACATAGCAATGAAAGCCCTGCAGCCTGAGCCCTGCATGCCCAAGTCGGCTAGCACAGGCCAGCCACAGGGTTCTCTTTGCTGGGCAGACATACCCTCAGGGGACTTGGGACATAAGAACAGTCATACTGAGTCGGACCAATGGTCCAGCTAGCCCAGTATCCTGTCTTCCGACAGTAGCTAATGCCAGATGCTTCCAAGGGAATGAAGGGCAATCAAGTGATCCACCCTGTCACCTAGTCCCAGCATGTGTCTGTCAGGATTGGGGACGATAGCCTTTCGTCATGAAAGGCTGTTACATACTGAATATCTAACCTGAGATTGTTGTTCTTGCTTTTAATTGCAAGACTCAAGTTGCTACAGCTGCTTACGATCCGATCATCTTCTTACAAACTAAGATTTAAAAAAAATGTTGCACAACACAATCCAATAGGAAACCTGAAGGGCTTTTGAGAGACTCAAACTAAAACAGCTGGTAGACTTGACCTCCTGCCTTGAAGATCTGCTTTCTTACATTAAGTGGTAAAAAGGGAGTTTTGACTACTTGAGAGTCTCCTCCAGTTGACAATTGCTGAGCTATTTAAGCTGTCAGCTAGCAGATTCCTGCTTGGGGGGGGGGGGGGGGGAAGAGAGGAGTGGCTTGTCAAGGGTCCCCTCACAACACTTTGAACTTCTCTACTCCGTTCTGCTGGATTAAAGCCCAGAAAACATGCACAGCACATCTATTTTTCCAGGGACAAGGCAGGGAAGAGACTCAGGCTGTATTCCTGGTTGTGGGATTTTTTGCGGGGGGGGGGACACAGGCACAAGCTCATGTGCTAATTAGCAAGTTGGTAACTAACTAACTTCAGGGAATAAATACAGGAGCAGCTTTGGCAGAGGTGGCTCACCTTTGCTGCTTCTATGTTGAGCATGTAGTATCTTAACAGTTCAGTCAGCTTTAAGTCTTCGTCTGATGACACACGACTCTCTACCTTCTACAGAAGAAAGGAGCAGATAGGAATGACGTAACAAGAGACAATGAAACCTAGATTTACAGCTCTTCAAAGAAGCTCTTACCCTGAGTTTTTCAAAGAGCTCAGCAACTTTCAACAAGTACCTAAAAACAGAGAAAAAAATTTACTTACATTTCATGGAAACCTGTAATGTAGCACTTAAAGAACACAAGATTTGTTAGTACAAGAGCAGAAACCTACACAAGTTTGCATACTGGTATAGGTGCATGTTTAGACAAGTTCTTATTTGAATGAGGAAATTAGAGTACAAGAAAGAAAATGTGTCGGGACTGAAACCAGTGTGAGAAGACACGGCACTTTTAGTCCGTCCGTGAGAGAGACTACCTAACTTGTAAGCTTTGTTCCAATGGGCTTGTCTTTATGCTCTAGAGCCACAAAGAAGTGTTTAATAATGCTTACAGGACACCACTTTGAAGGGACATTTTGCATTGCCCCACACTTATTTATGCAAGTCATTCAGGCCTCATATGCAGAATGGTTCTCCCAGGAAAAACTGGCCTGATAAATTAACAAATCGCTGACTTGCATTGAGAAGAGAGCCTCCGTGCCGACAATTATAAGTCAGTGTTTGTCCAAACCCACAACCAACCAATGAATGGTGTCAGTGCATTCTGGGAAGATACTGACAGCTATCCCATGCACCTTAACAGCATATAGCAAGTCTCATGTTGTGGGTGCTCCTCTACATGTGCTAAGGGCAATGTACTCTAGTGCGACCTGGTTACAGGAGCTAGGAAGAAGGAAGACTGGCCAACCTGTTTACAGGTAGTCAGGGGTCCCTTCTACACTAAAAATTCTGACATCACCAGAAGGCAGCCATGTGTCAGACTACTACAGGGTCCAGGCAAAGGACAAACATGGTTAGTTACCACCATGAGTATTGGCCATGTATAGACATGCCACGTTTACAGACAAGCTTGTCATGCACAGGGTACAAACTTAGTTATAAGTTAGACAGGGCTTCTATAACATTTTGTATAACATACAAAATGGGAAATGACTGCCTAGGAAGGAGTACTGCAGAAAGGGATCTGGGGGTCATAGTGGATCACAAGATAAATATGAATCAACACTGTTGCAAGAACAGGCAAACATCATTCTGGGATGTATTAGAAGTATTGTAAGCAAGACACGAGAAGTAATTCTTCCACTCTACTCCGTGCTGATTAGGCTGCAATTGGAGTATTGTGTCCAGTTCTGGGTGCCACATTTCAGGAAGGATGTGGACAAGTTGGAGGAAGTCCAGAGAAGAGCAACAAAAATGATTAAAGGTCTAGAAAACATGACCTATGAGGGAAGATTAAATTTTTTTTTTTTTAGTCTGGAGAAGAGAAGACCGAGAGGGGACATGATAACCGTTTTCAAGTACATAAAAAGGTTGTTACAAGGAGGAGGGAGAAAAAAAAATTGTTGTTCTTAACCTCCAAGAATAGGACAAGCAGCAATGGGCTTAAAATTGCAGCAAGGGCGGTTAAGGTTGAACATTAGGAAAAGCTTCCTGTTCGGGTGGTTAAGCACTGAATACATTGCCTAGGGAGGTTGTGGAATCTCCATCATTGAGGATTTTTAAGAGAAGGTTGGACAAACGCCTGTCAGGGATGGTCTAGATAATACTTAGTTCTGCCTTGAGTGCAGGGGACTGGACTAGATGACCTCTCGAGGTCCCTTCCAGTTCTATGATTCTAGAAGGCTAAAACTTAGTCAGACATCCTGTGCACCAAGAGTCCAAATCTGCTGGATTCAACTAGGATTCTATTTAAAAACGTTAAGTGGAAGTGGATATGTGGCATAAAAAAAAAAGTTAAATGTGCCATATTGATAGCACCATTAAAAAAATAAAATAGAAATAAACTCTGAACACCAACACTAGAGATACTAATGACCAAGGAGGGGACCTCAGACAAGGCCAGGATTCAGTTTATTGTGTAACAGGATTAAAATTGGAGTACTCCATACAAAAGTCCAAGATCAGGTATTCACTGAACAATTAGTGGGTTTGCTTACTTTTTAGTGACTGTGGGCTCTTCAAAAGCCAGGCTGTTTAAGCAAGCTGAAGTGCTGATGTAGTCATCTGCAACATCTGCAGGAACAAGGACAATGCTGTCAGTTTTGTCTCTAGTGACATACACTGACATTACACAGAAAAGGTTTGTAAAAAGATTTCACTTTTATGTGATCTTGTCATCTTATCTGCCTTTGCGCATGCATCCTTGATTCTGTTGTAATAGTTTACGAGAAAAGTCTTCTCTTGCTCAAAGAAGTCATCCACCTCCTGAAAAGAGAATATGATCTGTTAGACCGATAGCATGGCTAGAGCATTAGCATCTCCTTCATTTACCAAGGAGTTCAGTAAGAGACTTTAAACCTTTGCCCCCGTGTTGTGAATCTGGCCATTAAGTGTAGCTACACATTTCTAGCCTCCCCTTCATAGTGTACACAATGAAACAAGCCACAGCTGCTTAAAAAGTTTCTCTAGTACAATTTCCTCTTTATGCAGAAGTGATAAGGGACCCCTAAAAAAAAAAAAAAAAGAAGTCTGGTGGCACTGAATTTTCATTTTCCTTTTGACATACCTCCACCCAACTTGGTGGAGACCCGATTCTCCAGGCCAGTGGTATGTGATGGGCAGCAATTTAAAACAGGACAAAAAAGGTTCAGAAGTTACGGTTCTTACAGTCATAACTGGTATTACAGCATGTACTATAAAGTTTAGTGTTTTACTATGTATTTAGTGCAGCCAAGTTCATTAACATGGTAATCCACTTAAAAGCACAAGCAAAGGAAGTTAAAGGCAAAATTAACACTGAGGATGGAAAGCAAAAGCTTTATCACATTCAACTCTTAATTAGTGCAGATGCAACACATGATGCACATGCATCAGTTGCTCCGCACTTCCAGTGTTTCTCCCAACCTTCTGAAATGTAGTATAGAGTTACCTCAACTTTTCATTGTCTACGGAAACAACTGTGTTACAACATGCTGTCCATCACTAGTCAACACCTCTCCGAGTTAGGAACACTTCAAAGATGACTAGTTCTCTACTTACAGTCAGCAGGAGCTGAACCTTTACATCTGATTTTATGGCATTTCCTTACAAAAAGCTTAGGTCATGGGAGATTAGCATTGCTGTCTGAAGTGGCAGAGGTTCAGTGGCCGGTCTCCCAAGGTTTCACTCAATGTTAACAGTTCCATTGTTCTAATGCAGGGGTCTCCAACCTTTTTATGCCCAAGATCACTTTTGAAATTTAAGGGCAACCCAAGATCTACCCCATCCCTTCCCTGAGCCCCCACCCTGCTCACTCCACCCCCACGCCCTCCATCACTCCCTCCCCCCCAGCCTCACTCACTTTCACTGGGCTGGTGGATTGGAGGTGGGGTGTGGGCTCTGGGCTGGGGCCAAGGGGTTTGCAGTGTGGGAGTGGGCTCTGGGCAGAGCCTGGGGCACAGTGTTGGTATGTGTGTGTGGGGGGGGGTAGGAGATCAGGATACTGGCTCTGGGAGAGGGTTCAGGGCTGGGGTGTGGCCTCCCACTGGGCAGCACTTACCTCAGGCGTGTCAGTGAGGCTAAGGCAGGCACCCTGCCTGCCCCAGCCCCACACTGCTCCCAGAAGGGGCCAATGTGCTGGGGGTGGGGGGAGAAGAGGAAACATGGCTCTGCGCACTGACCCTGTGGGCACCACCCCCAAAACTCCCATTGGCTGCAGTTCCCCGGCCAATGGGAGCTGCGGGGGCGGTGCTTGCAGGCAGGAGTAGCCCCCTGATCTCCCCCCACACTCCACTTCAGTGGGATGTATTGGTTTCTGGAGCTGAGTGGAGGCATTCTAGTACTATTAGATATGCAGAAGTTTCAGCAGACGACCACATTTTTGCCCAAGAGTTAACAACTACACTCAGAGCAGTTTCTTTGGCAGGATATTACTGGGTGACTCTTCACTGTGTACTGAATAGTTAGATGGGTTTTTTTTGGGAGGGGGATGGGGGAGGGGGAGAAGAGAGAAGAACCACCAAAACTGACTCCTTGGATGCCCAACTCCAAGGATACAAATACTGGAGCCCAGGTTTGTCAATTTCATCCCCAGCTTGCCAGTCATGTACTTCCTCTACGTAGGCAGGTTTTACCTATTCAGACACAATCAAGTGCTCTCAACTCTGCAATGGATTGGCTTAACTGATCCTTCAGACTTGATAGCAAATATGAGGTAGGTAAGTTATTAAGTATACTCTTGACAAAGCTAGGAGAAACCTGCACCAGGAATAAAGCAATCCTACATAGTAGAAAGCAAGAGTGAAAAGGTATCTGATTGAAGGGGAGCAAATCATCTTACCTTCACTCCAGAGAAGAGGACTTCATCAGCACTCTTCACCATGCTTTTTAAAAAGCCACCAAACATTTCTTTTGTATTTTTTCTCCGAACGCTTAGCTAAAACAACAAAAGTTTTAGGGGAGTAAGAAGTAATTCAAAGACATGCTTCAAGTTTAATGTTGTACTGGTGTTGTCATTGCACCATACAAAGTGATGTTTGTACTGCACTAACTTCTAGGTATATTTTAAAAGTGATTGAATTGCAAGTTTCCTCTAGAATTCCCGTTTTCAAGTTGTAGCACCAGAGAGGTCTTCTTGTAATGAAGGGACTATTGTTAGAAACATGGGAGTTAAATTTCTCTTTGTGCTGAATTCATTTATGAACAAGGATGTTAACAGTCTTTCCCACAGCTGCATTAGAAGTAAGGTGCATTTTAACAGCTTCTATTTAATCTCTCTGAATAAAGAGGGAACATACAAAGCAGAGATGCTGTGTAATGGGCATGTTACACAACAGCCCTTACAGCTGGAGAAAGAAAGGATTTGAGGTGCACAGGCTTTTCTGAAGCTGAATTTTATCAGGGTAGATAAAAAAATCCCTTTAGCAAAAATTTAAGTACATTTTTCTTTAAAAATAATCCTACTTAAAATTGGTTCTGAATTATGATAACCTATGTTAAGGCTTATCATTACTGTAATGCTTAAAAACCAAGAATATTTGAGATGTACGTTTGCTGCTGAAGTCTTCAAGGAAGTCACTGGCTAAGCACCTGGAATCAAAGTTTGTTGAAGGGCTAAACCAGTTTAGCAGTAGCCTCTTCTGCAGAGAGATTATTTTCCTCATTTTTGTGTATTCAACAACTAGTTCAATTCAATTACTAGTTTATTCAAAGTGGAGAAACCAAGTGGGGGTTGATAGCTTGTTCCCCGCCAATCTATAGAAGTGGGTATGGGAACAAGATCTACAAGGTCTAAAATCTTGAAGGACATGACGACCAAAAAGTCAATTCAATTCAGCTAACTACAGTGAACGCTCACTAGAATAAGTTCATCAAAATGTTTTTAATTTATGATTTGCTTATTTTTTCTTACATATTCAAAATATTTAAAGGGGTTTTATTTAATTAAAGCATTTTTAAATGCTGTTTATGCATTTTAAATCTAATTCCAAATTTCCAACTAAATGTAGTTTGACACAAATCATGATCTAGTGCATCCTCCTAGCTAGCAAAAAGTAATACCAAATTATACCACCCATGAGAATCAGCCTCTTTTGGAAGACAACTGAAAGGTACACATGCAAAACAAGATTTGAATCAGTGATTTAAATCAATGTTACCTGTTTGCCGATTTAAGTCCTGATTTAAAGTCAGCGTTTTAAGTCAATAGAGCCTGGTTTGTATGTTGCAGTTTATCTTTTAAGGCAATGATATTTCTGTCATGAATATGGACCCCCCCCCCCAAAAAAAGCTTTGAGTGAGATGGAATTTTTGGCCCTAGGATATTATTTGAGACGTTGATTGCTCAATCCTACATAGATAACAGTATAAACCAGTGGTTCTCAAATTTTTGTACTGGTGACCCCTTTCACATAGCAAGCCTCTGAGTGCGACCCCCTTATAAATTAAAAACACTAATATATTAAACACCATTATAAATGCTGGAGGCAAAGCGTGGTTTGGGGTGGAGGCTGACAGCTCATGACCCCTTGAATGGTCCTGACCCCCAGTTTGAGAACCCCTGGTATAAACCCTATGTAGGATTGTGTGTTTAGATTAGAATTTGCTGTAGTTGTAACAAAATTGATAAATGAGTTCATGGAAACTGACTGCATTCTTAACATCCTGTCCCAGAAATGCAGAGGAAATGGAGGAAAATTCCTTACATCCTGGTCATACTCTAGGAAAACATGGAAGTTGCGATCTTTGTTGAGCACAGGATGAGAAGAAAGTCGCTGAAGGAAAACTTCATGTGATGACACAGTCTTCTTAAAGACAGCAAGGTATTCACTGGAAGAGCAAGGGGGGGAAAAAATCTCAAAGTTAAGCACTGATGAAGATGTGTAGTCTGTACCCCCTGCTTCACTGCACAAAGCATTGCTCTGACAAAAATAATTTTATTTAACGCTTCAGGTTTTGGCCTAGTGCTTCTGAACAAGCATTCCTGTCTCCACCTGGCCTTTTATAGTACATTTTAGAATTCACACAGTAATGCCCAAAAGACTTCTTATGAAGGTTAGAGACACAAGCTGGGTGGGATAATCTCTTATTGGACCATCTTTTGTTGGTGAGAGACAAGCTTTCGAGCTACACAGAGCTCTTCTTCAGGGCTGGGAAAGGTACTAAGGTTATTAGGCATTTATATGGTTTATCTAACCAAGTCCAAGACTTTCTAGAAACACAGACCTGGTTAAAAGTGTTATGGTGAAGTTACACCTCAAGCCAGAGCCTTATTTTAAACAGGCTTGGTGCTACCATGCAAGTAGATCCTCCATCAAGATGCAGACTGACTTTGGTGTCTACACACAGCTACACACACTTACGCTTCTAGTTCTTGCTTCATTTTTGCAAATTCCTCTTTTGTCATAGAAACTTCTCCTTCCCCAAGTTTCTGCATCTTCTCTCGGGGACCATCAAAGTCAGGCTTTGAAGGCGCTGGAGGTATCTAGTCAATATAAAATAGATTAATTGCAAGTACCTATCACTCTGTAGTGAAGGTTCCTGGAGTTTCCATAGGTACCTTGTAAACTAATGTACTGCTGTGCTTTTTACCCAGGTTGTGTGTAGTGCAGTTTGTTTGTTTGTGGATGCAACAGGACTCATCCAGAGTGCCCACAAATCCTGTGTCACATGATGTGGAGACATGGGCCTGTTTATCCTGTGATCAGCATGGCTCCAGGAGAAGCCGTACTAATGGAGGCTCTCCACCAGCTGCTACCCCTGGACTCAACACTGAAGTGTCAAGTTCTCAAAAGTCCTGGCAGCAGGGTAATCAATGTCTCTCTCTCTCTCTCCATAAGGGCTTCTATGGGGTAAGGAATGATACCAACATGGGGGCAAATCCACTCTGCAGTACCTGCAGAATTCCAATGCTGTGAGCTTAAAAGAGTGGAGGGCAGGGTATGGCAGGGTTTTCAGACAGTTCAGGGAAGATAAAAGCAAAGCTATGTTACAACCACATTGAATCTACATAGTTAAGATCCAAGACAGAAAATACTAGCGGTATTTACTTTAACAGGGTTAGCATCCTTACTAACTTCCTCTTAGGCGCACCACATTTTCCCATTATAAAATTCAATCCTAAGCAAAAAAAAAAAAAAAAAAGCAAAAAAAAACAAACACACTTACAATAAATCCTGCATACTCTTCCGTTTCAGTAAGCGTATCATGCAGCCACACAAAGTCTTCATGCTGCCTTGTAACTGAAAACTCTGGGCTTTGAAAAGTTGGCAGTGTAGTCTGGAAGAGAAGAGATACAGAAGTCCTACTGTTTTGTAAACTAGTGCTTTTAGAAGCAGTTTTGTTCATTAGTTTCCATAGCAAGCCCTTTTGATTAGTAAAGGCCAGACCTAATTGCCTTTTCTAGTGTTGGCTAGCCCTCAGTTAAGGTGAGCCTTCTTTGCATATCTCCCTTAGCAGTGAAAGGATAATTTCGTAGGAACAAGATATTCAAGTGTGCCATACCACTTTAGCAGACCAGAATTAGTGATACCTAGCTCTTACATAATGCTTTCAGCAGTAGATCACAAACTTTAGAAAAATGAGGCAGGTATTATCCCCAATTTACAGATGAAGAAACAGAGGCATGGGGAGGTTAATTTCAATCCACCACTCCTTAGCAAAGCTAAGAGTGGCAGTACTGATCTGTCTGGAGACAGAAGAAAACAACCCTGCACCAGTTACTTGGGTTCCATTTGGACAGTTCTCTTCCCCTTCCTAAGGTGTAAATGTATAAATAGGCAGGACACAAAAACAAAAACCCACACACCAAAAAACTGTGCAAGTGCATCAGAAGCAGGAAGCCTGCCAAACAATCAGTGGTCCCACTGGACAATCGAGGTGCTAAAGGAGCACTTAAGGAAAATAAGGCCATTGTGGAGAAGCTAAGTGAATTCTTTGACTCACTTGTCTCTGCAGAGGATGTGAGGGAGATTCCCACACCTGAACCATTCTTTTTATGTGACAAATGTGAGGAACCACCTAAGATGGAGGTGTCACTAGAGGTGGTTTGGGAACAGATTAATTTATCAAACTGTAATAAGTCACCAATACCAGATGGGATTCACCCAACAGTTCTGAAGAAACTCAAATTTGAAATTATAGAACTAACAACCATGGTACATAACCTATTAATTAAATAAGCTTCTGTACCAGATGACTGGAGAATAGTGAACACCAATTTTTTAAAAAAGGCTCTAGAGGCGATCCTGGCAGTTACAGCCAGTAAGCTGAATTTCAGTACCAGGCAAATTAGTTGAAATTATAGTAAAGAACAGAATCAGACACAAATGAACACAAGTTGTTGAGAGAGTCAACATGGCTTTTGTAAAGGGAAATGCCCCACCCATCTACTAGAATTCGGGGGTGGGAGGCAACATGTGGATAAGGGAGAATCCAGTAGATACCATGTACTTGGACTTTCAGAAAGTTTTTGACAAGGTTCCAAACCAAAGGCTCTTAAGCAAAGTAAGCAGTTATGGGATAAAAGGAGACGGTCCTCTCATGGATCAGTAACAGGTTGAAAGACAGGAAACAATGGGTAGGAATAAATGGTCAGATTTCAGAATGGAGAGGGGTAAATAGCTGGATCTTCAATGGATCTGTACTGGGACCAGTGCTGTTTAAAGTATTCATCAATTACCTGAAAACAGTAGCAAACAATGGCATGGCAAAGTCTGCCAACACCACAACTATTCAAGATAGCCAAGTTCAAAGCAGACTGAAGAGTTAAAGGAATCTCAAACCTGTAACTAGGCAACAAAGTGGCAGATGAAATTCAGTGTTGATAAATGCAAAGTAATGCACATTGGAGAACATAATCCCAGCTATCCATACACAATGACGGGGTCCAAATTAGCTGTTAGCACTCAAAAAAGACCTTGGAGCCTTTGTGGATAGTTCTCTGCAAACATCTGTTCAGTGTGCTGCAGCAGTCAAAAGAGCTAACAGAATGATAGAAACTATTAGGAAAGGGATAGCTAATGATCAGAAAATATCATAATGCCACTATATAAATCCATGGCATGCCCACACCTTGAATACTGCATGCAGTTCTGTTGCCCGATCTCAGAAGAGACGTATTAGAATTGGAAGAGGTACAGAGAAGGGCAGCAAAAGTGATTAAGGATATAGAAAAGCTTCCATATAAGGAGAGATTAATGAGACCAGGACTTTTCTGCTTGGAAAAGAAACAACTAAGGGGAGATATGATAGAGGTCTACAAAATCATGACTGATGTGGAGACAGTAAATAAGGAAGTGTTATTTACCCCTTCACATAAGAGCCAAGGGTCACCTAATGAAATTAATAGGCAGCACATTTAAACAAACAAAAGGAAGTACTCCTTCACACAATGCACAGTCAACCTGTGGAACTCCAGGAGAATGTTGTACTTTCGGCCTTCACAACTGGGCTCAACAAAAGAATTAGATAAGTTTATAGAGGATAGGTCCATCAACGGCTATTAACCAAGATGGTCACAGATGCAGCCCCATTCTCTGGGTGTCCTTAAGTCTCTGACTGCCAGAAGCTGGGAGTGGAAGACAGGACATGGATCACTCAATTGCCTTGTTCTGTTTGTTCCCTCTGAAGCACCTGGCATTGGCCACTGTTGGAAGACAGGATACTGGATTGGATGGACCATTGTTCTGATCCAGGATGGCCTCATGGTTAAGGCCTGCAGTGTTTTTAAATGAAAGCCTAAAATCTAGAAGTTAATGGTGTAGGCCCATTTGACAACAGGATAAGTTTCCTACTTGCCTCATTCAAGTGGATTTTAAGCCTGCGTGTGTGTATATTAACCACCTTCCCCTTTCACCATGAACTTACCTTAGTATGTACAGTGAACTTTACTTTGTCTTTTTCACTTAGGGCATCCGGGATGTCAATTTGGAGGGAAGGATCAATATTCAGATCCACAGACACAGCCCTCACCTGAAACACAAGTTAAAGTATTTAAGCCTAAAGTCAGAAATCAAAATTAGTCTCTTGACTTGCCAATAATCTAAAATTGATAAAAAGACAGTGCACAACCAGAAATTCTTACTACCTTGAAAAGATTCAAATCTTGACAGATGTGTCATGGTCATACCTAACTGTACGCGTCAGCTGAAGGGATGCAGAAGAACTACAAGTCTTCCTCACACTCTAAACACATAGCAAGAAGCTTTTGAACTTGGAGTTAAGTTTAAACAGACATAATCAGTAGCCTTTTGAAGAGTCCTTAAAGGTACCTGTAAAGGGTTTTCAGAAGCCTGGTTTGTGTCTTGTATATATAAAATAAAAGGCTCGGTTTTCAAGTTTTCCCTGCTGGTTTAACAGGAATAAAGTCTGTTCTTCCCAGATTTTGTTGGCGGTCTTGGGGTAGGGACAGAGGCACACAGCAGCACCACAGATGTCTGTTAAGGTCTTGCACTTTTAACTTAAAGTCAGGGGTGTTGAAGCTTGGAGGCATCGTTTCTTTCAATAGTCAACCACCAATAAGTTTTAAAGATGTATTTACAAAAAGAGCAAGTAATTAGAAGCACCTTCCACCGTTGCTCGGTTTCCAGTCTTAGGATGTCAATTGACTAGTTTTCTGGTCACTGTAGAAACAAGACTTTTTTTAAATCAAAAACAAGCTGAAGAAACTGAACCTCAAGGGTCTTCGCAGGTTATCAGAGAGCAAACTAAGGCACAAACCCAGTTGTGCTTTGGGAGCTCACTTTTTTTTTAAATGGGGTAGTTAATATTAAATTGGTCTTTGGAAGACTGGCAGATCCAAAGTGAAGGTTCCATTTAAAAGGCAGATGTTTGGTGGGTACAGAAGTCAGGTAACTTTACCTCTGCCCCATACTAGCACTTCCCCACCTTGAGCCATTTTTCCAACCTGCAGTCCTTTTGGTCACTATTTTTCCTTAAAATTTCAGTTTACAGTCTTTAGCTCCTTTGTGAGCATCCTGCATTTGGATAAACACACTACCTGTACCATTTACCATAAGCTACAATAAGTATGGAGTACAGAAGTCTGTTTCTTCTTCTTGCCACCCTTCTCATACCACAGAAGCGCCCTCTTCAGCTGCTCAGCCTCACACTTCCCATTCACTGAGCCACTCCACCCCCCCTTCTCCCCCCCCCTTAATCAAACAAGCCCTTCTTCACCAACCCCAACGTTTTTATTATTAAATAAATTAAGGTATTTAAGTCTGGTAACTAACTGAATATGTGCTTCCCACCATTTTGCTTGTATCTTTTCACCTGCCCTTTCCAGAGTTTTTTGCCTTTCTGAGGCTATGTCTACACGGGCAATTGAATGACAAAACTTGTGTCTTTCAGAGGTGTCCCGCCCCCCCTCCCGGAAAGGCAAAAGTTTTCCCGCGACAAGCACCAGCGTGAACAGCACGTTGTTGGCAGAAGCGCTCTCCTGCCGACAATGCAAACACCACTCGTTGGGGGGGTGGAAATTGTGTCAGCAGGAGAGCCAACAAACAGCGGCTATACTGCACGACTTTTAGCGGCACAGCTGTAGCAACACAGCCATGTCACTAAAAGCTGTGTAGTGTAGACCTAGCCTAAGTTGTAAAGCAGGGATGGTCACAGCATCTAGCACACTGCCCATCCCACCACTCAAATCCTAATTAGCACTTTACTGTGCCACTGCAAAATATGGTTCCGGTCTGTACATGAAAAGTGAAGTTAATATGTAATTCTACAGCCACCACCTTTCAAGTCAGAGGCAGTGCTCTGCTCTAGGATGAGATTGAAATTTATAGGCCAAGCTGTATGGAAATATGGAGAGCCAATTATACAAGTCTTTCCAAAGAGACTGGCCCCCACATCTCAGATATCTGAGAAGTATGCCACAAATCTTCCATAAATATTGTACATGAGGATTGGGATGCAATTTATTTCAGGTAGTTTTGTTTTGGCAACTTCCCTTAGTTCTTCAGAGATTAGGGTCACACCATGAAGATGAGAGTTTGAAGTCTTATAACAAGATTCATACACAAATTTAAAGATACAGCAGTTTGATTATTAGGGCCAGGAACAAGGTCCACAGGTGGCCAGCCAAGAGATGCAGGAAGTATTATAGCATCTCAATTTAAGCTTGCTTTCAGAACACCCTGCACTGAGCTCTCAGATGCAGCTAGTTACATCAGGTTTTAGATAACAGGCTGTTGAAAGGTGCTTTGGGTACTAAAGGTAATAGAGGAAGAGGCTGTTTGGGCCCCTCTTCACAACTTAAGAAAAACCTTCCAAACCTTCATATTATTTTAATTGCCCTCTCCTCTGTTACAAATTCAGATCTTGCTGTCTACACTGGAAGACCATTGCTAACTGGAGGTCTGGCAGGTTTCTATCACCACAAGTACCATCAGGAGTCGAAGCAAGGGGTGAGGATGTGATTTTATAGTCCTAGAACTATGTACATCTATTTACCTGACCACTTGGAGGAATGATCTATTAGAGGATTTGGGGGTGGTTGAATCTAAGGGCTAAGAGTGCTCTAAGACTATTTTGAGTCGGAGCATCAACAGAACAGGAGAGGACAGACTTCACCTTCCAGATGTTTTACAATTTGTGGCTTTTTTGTAGGTAAGTTGAGTCTCAGGCCTGTACCATACACCCTACAGCAGCAAAGGGAGCAATAAAGCTAGTTTTTCCCCTCCTCCTTTCCAGGACACTTTTCCATTTCCATGTAACATTTTAGCACCAGGCACCATTTTAGTTGTGCCAGTTTGCTAAGCAGCTGCATAGCCGACTCAGCTGGTGGAGCAGTGGGCTGTACATGCTAGATTCCTACGGTCATAATCTCAGACATTCTTTGAAAGGACAAAGGCCAAGCTTTCCCACTCAAAAACAGATTAAACTTCAGAACTTCTCCCCACACTGCACACCAACAACCGACAGAAAGAGGCCAGATTAGTGTGCAGGGACGGTAACAATTCAGTGTTTCCCTCCCTTCCATTGGGCCCCTGCCTGCGCAACACACACACACACACACACACCTTACTTTAAGGCTTCCCCAGGCATGAGGGGCATGTTGCTCTCATTTTAAAGAGAGACACATACAAAGGCAAATTTCCTGCTGCTTAGCCTAGTTTTTTTTTTTTGGTCAATTTAGGCTCAGCAAGCAGATCATGGGAGTAGTCTATGCCAGGACAAACAGGAATAGCACATTACTGCAGTAGCTTTTTGCTGGGTTTACAGGTTACAGATGCCTGCACATTGTGAGGTGAAAGCTCCTGCAGGCAAGTCAGACACAAATGTTATTAGCCAGCTGTAGTCATCATTTGTAGTTCAGTAACTTCTCAGGGCCTCAGCCTAATCAAATTTGGGCCCCGGCTGTGGTATAGACTACCACCGAGAGTCCCTGGCCTCAGAGAGCTTACAATCTAATTAGATATTACAACCAGGGCCGACGAGAGGGGGAAGCTGGTACAAATTACCAGGGCCTGGCAATCCGGAAGGGGGTCTGGGGCCTGGCTTCCTCCCCCCTCGTCGCCTTACTGGGGCCCGGCAGTCCGGAAGGGGGCCCGGGGCCCAGCTTCCCCTCCCCCCTCGTCAGCCCTGTTTAGCCAGTCCACCCTTGCTGGGGAGGGGGGGGCCAAAAAATTTTTCACTGAGGCCCAAACCCGCTCTCGGTGGCCCTGATTACAACAGAAGTATTCCCCCTTTTAGACCTTGGAAAGCTGTGCCTGAGAGGTTAAGTGACTTCCTGTGGTGTGACCTTGGGTAAGTTTGTGGCAGAGCTGGTAATTTAGCCCAGCTACTTAGCCACAAGGCTATACTTCTTTAAAAAAAAAAATAGGATTCTGAACACATCATCCCCAGGAAAGACAGCAACACTCCAACACTGTAGCAGTTTTGCAGCAGATGCTCTTCCAGATGTTCTTGACTTTTACCCACAATGCACTAATGAGTCAAAAAGGGGACCTGACAGACAGTGTCCTGTTAGATCTACTGACCGAACACCCAGAATCCAGATGCTGTGAGCGGGGGAGGCCATGGGTCATCACTGACTCCAGCCCCTACTCAGCCAGGGCCGCCTCCAACCTTTGTCGGGCAGCTGCAGTTCCCAGCCCTGTCTCTGCAGGCAAGTCCCTCCTGATCTGGGCAGCAGCAAACGATGGTGGGGAGGGGCCTCAGGGAGAGAAGCAAGGCAGGGGAGGTTCCAGCACTCCTGCTGGAATGTCTGGTTTTTAAATATTACCAAGTTGGCAACCCTAGCGCTTCCCCTGCCTTTCAGTCTGTAGAATAGCAAGGAAGGGGTATTAAAGTCACCTTGCCCTACCATGCCCTTTTAGGAATGGAAGGATAAAAAGGTTAACAGAGAAAGCTTGTACAATCAGCCATTATGCAGCAAAACACCCAAGGGCTCACTGCCCCATAAAGCCAACCTATATGGAAGTCTGACCATTTCACATCCATAATAGTCACAAAACCATTTATTTTAAAGCCAGACATGAATTTGTTTTTTTACTGAACGCATTTGAGGTACATGAATGAGTGGGGACCTTAAAATTCACATCCTACAATTCTTATTTTTTCAGGCTAATCTGTTAGAGGGCCTGGCTCCAAGCCACTTATAGGCACTGTCTACAGATGACGTACTACTCTAAGAATGGTTTGGTTCCCCCTTGTAGCACCCTGCTACTGTCAAGTGCTCCAACACATGGTCTAAATCAGGGGTAGGCAACCGATGGCATGCGTGCCAAAGGGGGCCCATGAGCGGATTTTCAGTGGCACTCACACTGCCCGGGTCCTGGCCACCAGTCTGGGGGGCTCTGCATTTTAATTTAATTTTAAATGAATCTTAAACATTTAAAAACCTTATTTACTTTACATACAATAGTTTAGTTATATATTTTAGACTTATAGAAAGAGACCTAAAAACATTAAAATGTATTACTGGCACGCGAAACCTTAAATTAGAATGAATAAATGAAGACTCGGCACACCCCACTTCTGAAAGGTTGCCGACCCCTGGTATAGATACTGTTTGGCTTAAATTTGCCTTCAACAACTCTGAGTACCAGGAGTCTGAACTGTTGTATTGTCAATGTAGGGCAAGTAGTCCTCCTACTCTCCCAGAGTGCACTAGTGCAGGGGTTCTCAAACTGGGGGTCAGGACCCCTCATGGGGTCACGAGGTTATTACATGGGGGGTTGTGAGCTGTCAGCCTCCACCCCAAACCCTGTTTTGTATCCAGCATTTAGAATGGTGTTAAATATATTAAAAAAAAGTGTTTTTAATGTTTAAGGGGGGGTCACCAGTACAAAAGTCTGAGAACCCTGCACTAGTGGTCTTTTCAAATCTTCCAAAATTGACAGTTTCTAAGAGCTGCTTTGAACCAGAGGAAACTGCAACGGAAAGAGTTTGAGAGCACCACTGTTGACATAGGGGGAAGTTGATGGTTCAGAACACATAGCGAGTGTGAACACGAAAACTGTTCATGCTTCATCTGGTTCAAACAGGAGCAGCTGAAGCCTCTAACAATGAGAACGTTTTCGATCAATATCTGCCTAAGTAGTTCCTGTCAGGCGGGGTCAGTTTAACTAGGTCTGACCACAGCACAGGTGTCAATCTTGTTCACTGAACCAGGGCTCAGTGCAGTCCTGCCGCATATGGAGAGAAGCACAAGCTGTTCAGCATTAGCTAACAAGGAGAGAAACAGGATTAACAGTTTTGTTTCAGTTACTGGCAAGGTATTATAGGAGTGGACCTCAAGGTGCGGACAGAGATTTTTAAAAGCCTACTCTTTTTGAGGTTACTTATCTTCGCTGTCCAAACAGGATTGACAGGCAAAACAATACAAACTGCTGAGTCTGTGAAGAGTGTGATAAGCCAAAGGAAGCAACTTCCGTTCAGCTAGTTTTCAAGGAAAATGTTGCACAACCCAGCCAGTCCTACAGTTGTGAGCTGTCATTTTAGACAATTTTGTAGGGAAAAAGTTGCAGTGAAAGGGGAGGACACAGAGCCTTAGCATTA